CGGGCGGAGACGTGCGAGTTCGGCTTTCCCCCAAACGGGGCTCGCTCGGGCTCGGGAGAGCGCCTTGACCGCTAAGGTCTGGCCCCTTCTGGCCTGGGAGATGCTCTCGTTCTTCTTATTAATGCAGTTCTGCTCTGTAATTTTTTTTTTTTTAAAAAAAACCCTTTGTGTCAGCGAGAGAAGAAGGGGCTGGGGCAGGCGTCTGGGCCGTCGCAGGGCAGCCAGGGGGGGAATCATGTTCTGCTTGGCCCGACTAGAGGTCCCCGAGGAAGGCGGGGGGGTGCCAGAAGAAAAGGGACATCGTCATTTACACCAGTAAGTTGTGCAGTGCTCTTTTTGGTCACTTTAGTTACTGCTGGGGCAGGCGTCTGGGCCGTCGCAGGGCAGCCAGGTGGGGAATCATGTTCTGCTTGGCCCGACTAGAGGTCCCCGAGGAAGGCGGGGTGGTGCCAGAAGAAAAGGGACATCGTCATTTACACCAGTAAGTTGTGCAGTGCTCTTTTTGGTCACTTTAGTTACTGAAGCAAAAGGCAGATAGCTTTGATGAGCCCGACTCTGCATGTCAGAAACGCACTGGAAAGAAGCGTGTGCTCAAAGAAGGAAATACCCGAGAAGGCGCAGCTATCAACGGGAACGGGAACACGGTAAAATCCAAATCTGCAAATAAGATAAGCAACTGTTCTGCTAAGGACCATCCTCCTTTGGTAAATCCAAAACCCGAGAGCACTGCGATGGACAAGAATTCAAATGGCACCAAAAAGGATGGAACAGGCTGCAAAGAGAAAAAGAAAAATGGCAATATTGAAAAGGAACAGGGCGATATAAAACATAAAAGGAGGAAAGCTGAACAACATGTGGAGCAGCAGCCAAAAGAGTGAGTACTTCGAGCTTCATACATGTGTGTGAATATTGATTTTAGAAGGTGTCCCTAAGGAGCACAGAGAAGTACATTTGAAATAGGTGCACTCTTCCAGACTAAATGTTGGAAGAAATAAGATGCATACTACCCTAATTACTCAGCTATAGCAACAAACCTGCATGCACGCACTACTGGACTAGTTTTCAAAGAGCTAATTTCTTCATTGAAATAAAAAACAAGCTTTTTCTTCACTATAAAGACACAAGGTCATTTTAACACTATTAAGTGTAATTAAATCTGTATTTATCAGGGCTGACATCTGGTTTGATGACGTTGATCCAAAAGATATTGAAGCAGCAATAGGACCGGAAGCAGCAAAAGTTGCCAGAAGAAATCTGGGACTTGAAACAGGCCGATCCAAAGAGTCTGTGGAGCAGGTGCTGGTTAAAGAAAAGGCTTCTGAAGGGTGAGTGGCGTTGCCGTGGGAAGCACGGCAGCAATGCAGCAGAAGTTTCAAGATTATTTGCTGGTAACTGTGACTTGCAAGCACATAGCATAAGCTGACATCTTACTGAGTCTGCTGAGGAACAAACTGCTCAGTTTGCCCCGTGGACGTGGATGCGCGAACCTTGTGCAACTTCTGTATGCAGTCCCTGAAGCAAACGTGTCACAAAGTTGCCCTTTTTCTTTTAGGCTGACAAGAGCTGTAGCCATGGACTGTGAAATGGTGGGAGTGGGACCCAAGGGCGAGGACAGTATTGTGGCTCGCGTGTCCATTGTGAACCAGTTTGGAAAGTGCGTTTATGACAAGTATGTCAAGCCCACAGAAGAGGTGACTGATTACAGAACAGCTGTTAGTGGCATACGCCCTGAGAATATAAAGACAGGTAGGAGTTTTCTCCAAAATGTTCTTTAGGGAGGACAAATTTAACAGGCTATCACAGCAGTCACCTTGGCTGAGCCTGGAAAAGTTCTAGTTTTATTCTGGAAAACAGAAAGTAAAAGTGTGATGTAGCCTGAACACATGAAAGTACAAAGTGACTACTGGGGAAGAAACTTGGGAAGATGTGCTTCTTAGGATGGTCCCTATTGCCCCATGAAAAATTCACTCTTTAATCTTGGCATGAGAATAATACAGAAGTTCGGTTCCTTTAAGTGCTGTCTCCTTGCGGAATTCTCTATGCTCTTGTAACAAGCAATTTAGTGTACTGTAAGCATTCATAATTGTACTGTACACATTCATATAAGCAGGGTTCCAAGGATACAGCGGTGAAAAGATACAGATCTTTTCACAAGAAAGATGCAGTGTTTTAATTGCAGCATGCTGAGCTGTCTTACATGTCTAACAGAAAGTGTTTCATTGTGTGGTATTTTTAGGAGAGGACTTTAAAATAGTTCAGAAGGAGGTCGCTGACATCTTAAATGGACGGATTTTAGTCGGGCACGCTTTACACAATGACTTAAAGGTATGTGGCCGCAGATTTGTTATTTTGAAGCCAAGACTGTAGTGACTGATTACATTTCTAATATATTTCCCTGGATCAGTCAGGTGAGCACGCCTGAACTCCAGAAACTACAGCTTTATCACTGTTAGCTCGGTTTCTTGTCATTTCAAGCTGCACCAAGTATAGCCCTATTCACTTACATACTAAAGTTCTTCAGCTTCAGAACTTTGTTCCCAGTAGCACTAATATGCCTGCTAAAGAGACAGAAAATAAACAGCACGATGCAAAACCTGTTTACGTGCTCTGCTCAGCCCCCAAAGTGCAACAGTCTGCACACCTTTGCTAGAGATAGGTATCTAGTTATATATGCTACGCCAACGCTGCCTGTAGTCTCTATAGGTGGTGCCTCCTGACTGAGTGATGTTTCTCATACCAAATAGTACTGTGGCTCTTGAATCCTGTCAGTCTAAGTGATCTCAGGCTTGTCTATTCATGGTTTTGAACAGTCTTTTATAATAGATGGAAGGAGAGAGCTAAAAGTTGTACATTTAGCTATATACATTTTACTTCCACGGCACTCTTTAGACCGGAAATGTGTTTTTTTCAGGTCCTATTTCTTGATCATCCTAAGAAGAAAATTCGTGACACACAAAAATACAAGCCTTTTAGGCAGAGAGTCAAGGTAAGAAATCGTCGGGAAGGGACACCTTGATTAACTGACTCTTGAGCTGCTGACTCCCAGCTTCTAGCTCGTTCCTCGTATGTTTGCTCTACCTGCATAACTCTGAGCAAGTCCCTGTTCCTCCTTTCCTACGTGACACAGAGATGCCTGCTTCTTGTTGCTTGAAAATATTAAGCCAGTTGAATGCTTATGTCGTGTCTGAAATGTGGCAGTAAGTTACCTAGTTCGTTACAAACTTTACCAGTAATATTTGTGCACAAAATTCAGTGACTCTCCTATTCTCTAGCATAACGCTTTTGTGAATAACAAAATAAGAAACTGTTAATAGTATAATTTGCATAGGGATATAAAAAAATACAGATGGTTTGAAGTTTCTGCTTAAACTGCAGCCATAAAGGTTCGAGTTAGAGGCTGTTGTTTTAAATTTTGTAATGATATACCAGTTTTTGTTTTGTACAACATCAAGCACCACAAACACGAATTTTAGGGTTGTGATTAAAACATACAAAATCCTCAGCAGTGCGTGCATAAATCTCATAATTCATTAATACTTCTTGCCAGTTCACCAACAGGAGCTCAGATGTGCTATACTTCAGTTTAAATGTATTCTTCAGTAATGTTATATATAGGTCAAACAATATGAGACAGCGTGATTCAATCTTTTCTTTTTCTAGAACGCACGGCCATCACTGAAACTGCTCTGTGAGAGACTGCTGAATGTTCAAGTGCAGACATCAGAGCATTGTTCAGTACGTATCCCATCAGAACACTTCTGGCTAAAAGGAGCAAGGTACTACATATTAGCCCTAGAATCTGGGTTCAGTCCAGAATCCTGTGGCTTCATTCTCGTCTCTCAGTGAAGGTTAGCAAGCTGCGCTTGGATACCAGCATGGGATAAGACTGCAATATAAACTCGCTTACTCTTTACCTTATACACTTGGACTACTTCCTGATTGTTCATAAACTTCTTTGGCACAAATAAACTGTATTTTGTTTAACTATTAGTTCTTGTTACTTTAAGATCCCCAGGAAAAAAAAATAATTTTCAAGTATCAACTTCAAACCTTAGGAGCAGCATTTTGTACCACTGTACTATGGCAGGTTGGATAAAATACTACTGAATCTCTGCAGTTAGTGCCTTTCTTTCAGTGAATAAGAGGATGTAGTAGAGGAGCGATCTGAAAAAGCAGGGCAGATTGTGAAGGTATTGCCAAGATACTGTATCAAGACTGATTTTTCATAATGGTTCTCCTAGTCAAGATCAGTCACTGAAGTGCATAGCCTTGTGGTGGGCCTTGCATCCTGAATACGTATTCTTCCTCTCCCCCTTGGCACTCTAGAACTCCTAAATCTAGAAAGAGATTATGAAATATTAATTGGAAGGCGGTATCAAAATGGATGGAAGATTTGGCTACCTATTCATGATAACGTTCTTAAACCAAGTCAACTGTGTTTTGTCAAGCCTCCTGTTTGTTCTGTTCTCTTTCAGATTCAGGATGCCCAAGCAGCTATGAGACTGTACACCTTAGAGAAAAAGCGTTGGGAAGCTGCTGTTAAGGACAAGTCTAAATCTAAACTAAAGAAAAAATAAACTCTAAAATTTGAATAATTCTACATTGCGGTTTTTATCATGCAGCATTTGCTGTGTTGGTGTCAAATTCCAACACGAATTTAGAGAGAACTCAGAACTGACAACAGCTGTTTCATAAAAAAGCCCAACTAACAACACTTCCTGACATGGAACCCTTTTGTACAAGAATACTGCAGAAGAAACCCCAGTTCTGGAGCGTACAAATGCCTAATGCCTACTACTGTTTGAAAAATACTTGTATTGAATGCCTGAATTTGTGAAGTACTTCATCAGATCAAGTTCTGCAAAGGAAATATACACGAGTTAAAAAGAGGGGGAAAAAAAAAAAGTGTTTTAAATTATGATACATGAAGCAAGAAACTGTCATTGCTTTGCTGAAACTCCTACGACTACAATCTTTATTGCAAATATTTTTAAAGCCTACAAAGGCAAGTTCTTGGTTATTGCTGTTGGTCTCAGTTGTAGTAACTACATCAACAAAATATATAGTTGTTTATGTATTGCTAATGGCACAATATTAATCTCTCTTTCTGTTGAGAAAAATCTGCTAAAATATTTCAGAAGGATCCAAGCTTTTATACCTGAACCAGAAGTCTACGGGTCTTGTTCTTACACAAACAGCTTTTATTCTACTTCTGCAGTTTCAAAAGCGTTGCATCCACAAGGGTCGTTATCTCCTGGAGAAAAATGTGAAAATTGTCAAATACAAAACTACCTTGTTGCTTCATGTATTTTTTATATTTCTTTATTAATAAAAACAGTGTTTAACGTGGGCCTTTAAAACATGTGATGTTTTAAACAGATGTGTGGTCTGATCTGCAAATTCTTAAACAATTGTAATTACCAAGCTGGATACTAATACTATAATTTAAAATAATCTAAACAGATACTGGAAGGTAACGAGGAAGAGGTTTCCGAGATTTAGCAGTTCCATGTTGCACATTGTATAGACAGAATGAGAGCGATCTTAGAATTGGTCAACAAGAGAACATGGGGGGGGGCAACAAGTGACATATATAACAGAAGAGGGAGCTTTCTTTTGTGATTCTTTTTGCTCTGATACGTTATAGCTGCAGTTTTCATTACAATGGTCCAGGCAACGGCTGCAGGAGAAACTGGAGAACGAGCCTGTATATATTTATAGCTGTCTTTGAGACAGATTCTATAAGCAAACTAAATCCGTAACAAAGATGAGCAAGGTTATAAGATTAACCAGTTTTATAGGCTTACTGAAAAAAACTAGTAATTACTGGTTATTTGACTGCAAGCCATTGAAATGGAAATACTGGCGTAACACATGAAATGGCCTGAATAACTTAACTGTTGAAGCACCGGAAACAGCAATCAATTTTGCAGTATGACTACGTGTTGGAATTTAACATAAGCTAACTCTTGAGGCAAAGTGACGCTAGCGGGTTTCTTAAGGATGTCAGTTTCATCCTAAAATTTCTTTTTGCTTTATAGTACAGTTACGCCCTATTCCCGCAAACGTTAGCTGGTTTTAGTATGAAGAACATAGTAAAATAATGCAAACCAATGTTGCAAGAGACCAGAACATCATCTAAAAAACCGACAGCACAGAGCATTTAGAAGAAACAGCCTTTCAACTACTTTTTTCAATACAATTAGAAATATTTTCATGAAAACGCTCTTCCCCCAGTCCGCCCATGATTCTCCTATAAATTTCTGCAGTACATAATTTCAGCTATTTAGAGATGATAAAATCCATAACCAGAAATAATACAGTTTGCCTATGCCCTGTCAGTGACTTCCACCTACCATGCTAGATGGAAACCGGCTTTTTATTTCCGATAGCAGTTCTTTCATCTTCTGGGAGACCATATCCAGCACAATGTCATCTGTAATGTAAAAGAACAGGATAACGTATGTTAACTGGTATAACTGCCAACGTCTGAAATAATTTTTTCTTCCATAGGTCTCAACAGGGGCTAGAAGAGAGCAGAGAGGGGATGGGTCCATAAGAACGGAAGACAGGATAAAGTTGTAACTACTACATTGCAGAGATACTTACAGTTATTCAAGAACAACAAAGTGGCATGAACTTACAGGTCAATTCATCCTCCTTTTTCAGGTACATATCACGCTTCAGCTGCGTGCAACTACCATTTCCCTGGCAGCTGCTGTTACAATTTTACTTACAACCTTTTGGGGGCAGGGGAGAGGAACAGACTGCACAAAAAGCACCACCATCTTACCGTACTGAACCATCTCATTCATCAGTGTACAGATATTCTCCACCACTTCTGGATCATCACAGTGAAAGTGGTAGGCATCTTTGATCAGGTTTATTCCACTGCCTTTCGAATCCATTACAAATCTGAAAGCTGATATTTCTAAAACAAAGGGAGACAAATACTGCTGGGATAATTGGTAGCTGCAAACTACCTGCTTTCCATTTCCCTGCCCTAGCTAGCATACCTGTAATATTTTTCCAGGAAACAGTGACCATTCTTTTCTGCCTTCCTAAAAGCTTTTCGGAAACATATTTGAGCAACAAATAGAAGACTGTATAGGCAGCTTATGCTGTCATGCATGGCAGAAGTGCTACTTTGATATTTATTGTTCTCTTGACTCTACCCTTTTACATAGTTGAAACAACTTCACCATAAAATAAGAAGTGAAAAAGCTCTCTCAGTTACTAAGATTGTGCTGATCTAGTAGTTCTTAGACATGCACGTTCTATCCATGGGAAGAAAAAAGTAGTTTACACTTCAGTTTCACTATTTCCTCTTCCAGTCCCGCGAGACAAGACTAACCCAGGAGAGGAGATGTCAATCCCATTCCCGCTAGAAACTCCTGAACTATTCAGAAATGCCCACTTCTGAGGTGATTTGCAATTAATAAAAATAGATTGCGGAATGTTACCAGATAGCCTTAGAAGACTTGCTAATGCCTGGCAGGCATTCTTCACCAGCACTGGTCTTTCTGGGTTCATCCTGAGAGCATCTAGCAGAAGCGCTGTTGTAGATTCATACTCATTTTCAGCTAAGCAACCTTTTAAAAAAAAAATAAAGCCTTTAAAATACTCATCAGCATTTTCAACTTCTGCCTCCTGTTTCTGAAAGGACTTTTAAATTATGCAACACAAATTACGAAGAAAGCATGTGGAAACCTGTATTACAGTAAAATGGCCCAGAAAAGTCTTATCGTGAGCTGATCCAGAGGTCTAAGAGAAATTTCTGAGGTATCTTTTATGTCAAGATTTCGTTTCATTCTCCAGGCCAAAAGGAATGAAGAGTCCTGAATACTCAACACATTCTGCTGGTGGGTCCTAGAACTGAGACAAGAAAGCACGCTGCATAGGCTATTTTACTCAGCCCTTCCTAGTGGAACGATGGCATAAGCAAAGGGTTTTGATGCGGCAGTAGGTATGGCAATACTCTTGCATGTTGCAAGAAACAGAGATAGAATAGCACTGCAAGGCTGCATTCATTAGAGCACATGACAATGGAAGAGATAAGGGTTTTATTTTTTAAACTGAAATGTTCCCAAAGTATAAAGTAAACAAAGGTTTAAAAAACAAACCTCACAGACCATGCTACACAACGCTAATGCTCTGTTCAAAGGAGTAACACAAAAGAGAGTAACTCAGATAGGATTCTTGGGCTTGAGAGATGAGCAAGAGATAGCGTTCTGCACTACGTTAGGTTGTTGTAGGTGCCCCTCGTTACAGCATCCACCGCACTGTCTAGTTGTAATTGCCATGGCTCATCAAAAAAATAGCTTCGTCTGAGAGTGTCAGTGCAAATGCAGGGAAGGCTGGTTAAGAGAGGAGCTAAGTTCCTAACTCTGCTGCCATCTGCAGAGCCTGCTGAGGCTGAGCAGCCTTTCAGCAGTGTTTCAGGAATCGCCATCAGCAGACCTGTTTCGTGTACCAGCCTCTTCCACGCGCAACGGACAAGAAGCCTGGGAAACACACCTTGGAGTGACAGTGCCCATAGAGCCGAGCAAGCTGTCTCAGCTACCATTCCATTCTGAAGGTGCTCTTGAAGGACAGCAGAGGTAGCAGGGACAGCACTTTTCAGCAACGCTTGGTCTATGTTGTACTCTAAATTACCTTAATAAAAAGGAAACGTATTAAGTAGAATTATTTAATCAATTAATACCATCATAAGCACGTTATATGTCAGGTTATAGCAATAAAACCTTAATCGATGAAGGCACTGGAGTAATGCAACATTATCTTAGTGTGGACAAGAGCCGAGGAAAGGAATCTAAAATATTCTAAAACAAAGCAAATATTACAGGACTACAAAACAGTAATGTTTATCGCAGAAAGCTAAACTTCTCCAATAAGTATCTCTATCATTTAAATTATACATGGGCATCACATCATGAAAGCTCTACAAATAATCACATTTTGGACAGAACAGGGATGGATATAGCTGGACACACAAATCAAATGAGTAGTTCATTGTTTAGAGGGAATAAAACAGACCAAGTGCAATTGTGCACATTCTGTTTTCTGCCTTCCGTGGTGATTAGGACACCGCACAACTATACAAGAACATGTCACAGAAACAAATCACCTTAAAATAACTCCCTCTGTGGTCTCATAAAAAGAGGTCATCTCAGGTACCACAGCTACCTCACCCCAGCTCTCCAACACCGTACGATGACACTGGTTTAGTTCTAAGGGGATGGGAAGAGTATACTTGCCACCTTACCAATCACATTTCTATTGAAAAAGCAAGAGATCTCCAGCTCAAGAGTTAGCCCAGTGCTGCCAAGAGAAGTGTGAGGCAAAGAAATAAGATGCCATTTATTTCAAATGCTGTTCTGATACCCAATCTAATATGCTGTTTTCACTGCATTCCCTCTGCTAATAACAGAGCAAAATGGTATGACTGGCAAACCAGGAGCTGTACGTTCCCTTTTATTTTTGATAGCTTGTTCATAAGCCATATCTTAGCTTAAACAATAAAGATTTGACTTTGTACCCCTTTTTGTGATGAGGGGTTTGCATTACTCTTTAGTTTTCTTTCATTTAGCTCTGGATCACTTAATTTTCTTCTAATAGTGCTGCGGAGACATCTCTAGAATGGAAGAAATAAGAACAAAAATCCAGTCCCAGCAACACCAGTGTCTGAACCCAACTAGGCACCATACCTGCTGCATTCAGCCACATCAATCTGGGCGCAATACTTGCTGTGTTCTGCTTACCACTCACAACCAAGCTCCAGAGAACTCCGCAGCAAGAGAGGCAAATCTGTTCATTATGAAGAAAATTTCTCATAATCATCAGAAGGTCTGGAATTAGTCCAGCTTTCTTTAGATTCTCTGCAGCAACTTCTAAAAAGCACAGAAAAAAGAAATCCTATAAAACCTGATTTCCCACCCTCCCCCCCCCTCATTGTCCTCGCAACAGACACCACTGCTAACCATATTTAAAAAGCGATAACCTAAAGTGGTAACAAGATACCACAGGCAGGACAAAAGAAAGCAAGAAAACAGACTGCATTCTTAACAAGATGCACATAAGCGTAGTGTTCAGCACAAGTGACCCTTGCCAACGTCCCCTGTTTGGCCATCCCTGTTCCTTATAGCTCTGAAATTTACAGAACAAAAAGGATTTAAGAAGATACAAATCACTACTATTCATATGTTTGCAAGTTAGCAATTCACACTACCTCCTTAACTGCAGAGCTAGGAAAAAATGTATAAAAATAGCTTGGTTTTAGTAACTCCATTTGTATAAATATAGACGCTTGATTTTTGTACGAATGTTTTTTCAGACTATCCCCTTTCATTGCTAAATCTTTCTGTAACCATTGAGAAAAACAGCCTTCTGCTGACTGTTGAACAGACAATCCAAACAAGCACAAAAATACTATAAATATTTAGCAACTACAGTCCGAGGAGAAAAAGCAACATAGAGAAATTAGGTAGGGTGGTTCCAACTCTCCATGCCACAGCCAGAAATAGAATCCAGGTTCGATGCCCTCTTTTTCCAAACACTACTATTTGTACAGTTTGTACTTATTTCCGAAACACAGTCACGCACAGCACCCCTCTAATACATACAAATCTGTAAGTGCCGGAAGCATCAGCAATATATCTCCTACTTCCAGGATTGTTATAAGAAATCTTACCACTATTGAACTAACACTTGCAGACATTCACATATCTGAGTGGTGTCATGAATTCTCCATTATAACTTTGATTAGATTATAAAAGTGGAAAATTTAGAAATTCCCCAAAAATGAACAAGGTGACCCACCACTGGCTGAAATCATCATCAGTAGCGTGCAGACCAGTGAAAGTAACTCTTCATTTTCAGAATGTTTTCTCACTGTCTCTAAGAGAGCGTTAATCACATTTTCACCCAAGCTTGTTTCCACATCCAGATTCTGTTCTAGAGCTGTCAAAAGTAAACATTTGAACAGAATGGAGAGATTTCAGTGGCTCCGAATGAAGTCTGAGCTTCCTGCTCTCACCATAAGCAAAACATTAACTGCACTTATTCACATAACAAAACCCAGAGTTGTTATCTTAAACATGCGTCTTCTGAAATAAAATTGGTATTAGTTTCAATCCTGTACCATTATCAGGTGTTCTAGGGATAAATTGCCAAGAAAATGAGAGAAGAGACAATAAAAGAGAGCAAAATGTATTCTACGCTTCCATGTTTTGAAATTCCAGCTCCAGAATACTGAACGTCTCTTATTTATACACTCTAGTAACACTCTGCACGACAGACATAAAAACAAACTTGGTAGTCTAGGAGCAGTAGCCTGGGTGTAAAATTAACATTTTAACACAGAATTTAGGAATACCAGCCCTGAAGAAAGCCCATGAGAATTCAGACTCTTATTAAAGCTGGCTAAATCCTCTACTACCTAAAATGTATCCCCTAAAATCTTAATCGATTTGAACAGCAGTCATTGCTGAACCCATTTCAAATCTTATTTACTACATCTAGCATTGTAAGAGGTAGGCTATATCACTCAGAATTAGTTGGAAGTCTCATAACCGTACCTTGACTAAGAATTTCAAGCAATAATCTGCAGCCATCTATTTGTAACTGGAGAGAATCTATATGAGTCTTCATGGCAGAAGTGATCAATTCTGTGAACGTTAGCAGACAGGGCAAGGCTACGGGGAAAAGAAACGATGTGAGTCAACATTTGGTTACACTGTCAATTGCTTAGGCTGCTCAGTGGGTGCCTACGCTTCAAAACACTCAGTTCTACTTTCAAGTAAAAAGGAGTCCCTGTGACCAATGTGGTATAGCAGAACAACAGTCTTGAATCAAAGAACACAAAGTGCAAGTGAAGACGGAACGATACAGAGTGAATTCTGTAGTGTCTATGTGCAATATCTCTTATTAAAGAAAGCAGCAAGTCTGTGCAAGCTAACTGTAGTTAGCACGTTCCCCGTAAGTCATGTCGGCACTGTTCGTTGGCCATGTAACAAGTAATGAGGTAGAACACCGGCACGTGAGCCTGAAGTCTAGCTTTTCAGAATCTGCAGAGCAAAATATTTCACTAGGTCTCCTGGTCCTAGGAAGACTCTGAGCTTTTGGAATAGCTAATACAGCTATCAATTTATCCACAAATACACGATAAAACAGTCGAGGGAAAACTGCATGATTTCTAGGGATCCATTTTGAGTGTGTTCAAAGACGTGAATATCAAGCATGGTCAGCCACGGTGCAGAAGCGCCAAAAAAGTAAAAATCAGCTGTATGCACAGCCTTGTATTGCTGCCAGTGGGTTGGAATGAGTGTTGAAGATATCAGTAACTCTAAGGAAAAAACTAAATGTTCTTTCTCCTTATTGACTACAGATATTGAACACTCACGTGTTTCAATATCATAAGCCAATGCCAGTATTAAAATGTTATTTCTACTAAACAACTGTGTATTTTATAACTGAGTTAATGTGATGCTTTGAAAATATTAATCTTGATCTGAAAGATTAATCCGGAAAAAGTGCTGATGCTGGGAGAAAACATACAGTCCTCCTTCACACACCTTTAGGAGGCACACAGAAACTAGACATGCGTAGCTCCCTTTTGCTCTATTGGTTTTATAGCCCCAGGCATTACCGACATTTCGCCCAACGCTGATATGAATTACCTTCCACCTGCCCAACAAATGTTGGTTTGCCAATTCACCTCAGTTGCCAACTAAAACATCACTGAGTTCTCTCAGTGCCTATTGGTTTTATCCAGTAAACACCTCTGCTGTTCAAGTAAAGCATTTACAAGACAAGTATCAACACAACCACATCCAATAGCCACCTATGTCAGCATGTGCAAAAATGAAAGATAGGAGGAAAGCAGTTTCAATCTCGTTGGTAGCCAAGATAATATTTTTCCCCTTAACATTATCTCAAAATGTAAGGAAAAAGTAGACTAAATGAATAAATAAAATAGTGCCTCACCATTTTTATCTCCTAAAAAGCTGGCAAGGTGCTGTACTGCTTTAGCCTGTGCTTCTTCTATATCCCAGTAAGCCTGCATGAACTCTACATAAAACAAGATAATTCTTCTAATCATTTGATACAAATACTTACACAAAGCACTCAAATTTATATCTATTTTGTGCAAGATGTGTGAATTCACATAAATGAAAACAATGCAATTTGTGATTTTGGAAAAGAGAAAAAATTTTCCACTAAAGTATCAACCACTTAAAAATTACAAAGTGTTGTGATTCACCTCTAGGATTTGTGTACTTGCATTTTGAGGATCTACTGGAATACTAAATCAGAACAGAGTTAGCAGCTTTAAATGCATTATTCGGATAGACTTTTGAGACGAAGGTAATTTCATCCTTACTTAGAAGGAAAATCATGGAGCAGATCCTTTGCTGGCATAGGTTGGCTAATGCGTTAGAATGCAAACAAAATAAGCGAAGCTCCCAGATTTCCTGAAAAATGATCTCTGACTCCATTCAACCAGCACATTAGGTACAGTTGGTAAACTTATAAGGTTATAGAAAAGGGGGTATAGCAATTCTTTCTCCAAATAGCTTTCCATTTCAAGTAAAACAAATGGCCAATAATTCCTTTTCCAGTAGAGTACACGCTGACTGGAAAACACACGTGTTTATTTCCTATGGAAGTCACCATAATATTAAATTTATCTTATTTTCTTTATTACCTAGAATACTGCCAATTCCTCCCTCAAGGAGCGCGTCTATTACATTGAGAGACAAAGACTTTTTCAGTCCTATTAAAGAGGAACCAGCAACAGTCAGGCATTCCCTAATAAATGGAACATCAGTCAGAGCCCTAGAGTTATGAGAGACAAGAAGTGGTACCAGTAAGTTAGAATCATCAGTAAGTTACAAAAATTTCCGACAGGTTTTGTTTCACTTTGATTTAAGCCCCTAAATAATACTTCATTGAAGACTGGATTACTTTTGACAGAACTTACACATTTAGAACTGCTAATGAAAGAGCTTACTTTGAGCAAGCCATACGTTGGCATCAATTAACTGCCTGTAAAATAGCTATAATACCAAAATATTACAGGTTGTACTGAAATTTATGCGCTCTCAGGCTGCAAAAAATTGCCTATAACATGATTTTATAATGTAGCTCTTCAAAAAGGACAACTAGAATCATCTGAATGCTAATTTCTAAGAGAGAGAAACCAAGCCTTTGACTCTTTTCTAATAAGTCAATTTGTCAAGCAAATAAGATCAGCAGCCTTGACTCAAATCACTTTCAAATAGCAGCTAACATTCCCCCTTTTCATTGAGGGAGGTGGGTTTAGGGGTTTAGGGAAGGAAAAAAAAAAAAAAGGGAAAGCATCAGAACTCACTTTGCTGTGGGTCTCATGCTGGGTTGAATATGTAGCATCATAAATAAAATTGAGAATAAAGGTAGAGAGCTGTTATCTCCATTTTGCATTAGTGTCAGAACTTCCTCAAGATGGCTGGTATCCTGTCTAATATCCTGCAGTAATGAAGTTATCTCTTCTGTCTGTAAAGAGGGTAGTATAAGAAGAGCTTTCACACACTCATTTACAGATATCTTGGGGGGCTCGTGACATTTTAAAATCTATAATGAAACATTATTACGTACATTCAGAACAAAGCAGGTCATCATGTCAAGTAGAACGCAACCTAGAGACCAGATGTCAGATTTCTCACTAAAAGAAAACCTGAGTGTTTCTGGAGCCATCCAAGACTTGCTCTCTGTCGAAATAAAAATCATACGGCAATGTTTCTGACATTGTACTATGCACAGTTTTGCTTGCACAGCCATAATCCACAGGCAGTAGTTTTATGCCTAAGAATAATTCAGAGGTATACAGCATAGATTAGTCTTTTTTACTGGCAATATGCCACAGAAGACTGTAAGAAATTCACTATCACTAAAGAATAATTTTCCAAGATGTAATGTGTATGTATCAAGCTAAATAGGCTTCCAACAAAATTTGTTGCAGAGAAGTTTTGTGACTCACAGTTACCAATACATCTATTTTTTTTTCAACTGTGAACACTATTAATGCTGCAGGCAACTGTCCAGGCGGAACTGAGCAGATACTTGTGAAATTAATTCAGAGCGCTTCAGAAAATATCATAAAGCAACACTGTTGGTTAGATTCAGGTTAATAATGTAAAGGTGAACGTTTATGTAATAGGCTGTGATACAAGAAATACATCTGCTTCACCCTTAGTTTCTTTTATAATATCCTCTTTATCCGTTAGAAGAAAAAACAGCATAACGCAGAGGAGGGGGAAAAATGATTTTTTGTTTCTTTGATTTTTCTCTGAGGATTAAAAACATCCACCCTAAACGAAAAATTTAAAAATAAAGAATTAAAGTAAATGCCTACTTTCTTCCACTCTTATTTTCCATTTCATTTCATCAGACATAAGTGCTTCTGTACTGAAGTCACAAAGCATGAAGGATGCTTCATCAGTCACAAGAATGTTCGATGGCTTGAGATTTCTGCAACACAAGTATTTCCTGTCAGCATCAGAATGCAATAATGTATAACCACAAGCTCCCAGCATCTTTACACACGAAAAGAGATTTGTTTTAACATACAAGTGATAATCAACTGAAATACAATCTTCTCCTTCCTTTATGTAAAATGCTTTAAAAACTGACAGCAACATGAAAATGTAATAGAATGGTTTTATCTCTTACTTTAGATACATGAAGCATAGCTTGTGCGTTACAGCCATCAAAACATAAACACTAGCAGAGACAGTTAGTATTCCAGTATTAAAATGAATCATCACCTCTCAACATGTTCCAAACAGCAAAATACAGAACATCTAGAATATTTTTAAACGGTAATGCTAGACAAAACTCAAGAATTAAATGACTTTCAAAAGTCACAGAACACTAAGCTATGTGCAAAGTCCAGAATTCCTATCTGCTAATCCCCGTTTTTGAACGGTAAGTTTCAATGCTTCTTAAGTGAAAACAGTTGTGCTGAACCAATAGTTGCTGCAAAGAATAATCTCCTCCCAGACAAAGAGAACAGATTTTTACTCACCTGTGAATAATATTTTGTTTGTGTATATAAAACAAAGCATCCACCATCTGTCCCAGGAACTTCAGAATCACCTACTGACAGGAACATACATGAAAGAGCAACATACACAGAGTAACAACAGTAAAATGAAATAGTTCACATGAGAGAGAGAGAGAGAGAATTCCTTTGCTTGAAGTAGGGTTCATCTGAGCAGGAAATACTGTTTTCCTCATATGATAAACCTGCTCCTCACTCTGGGTATTAGACAGTTGTTACTATCCTTGTTTTTCACAGGTGAAAAGTAAAACAAGAAAAGATTTAATTGCTTGAGCACAAACTATATAAAGAATTAGTTATTGTTATGACAATTTCATACTGGTTCAGGGCAAAGCTGTAGATAATTTCCCAAACAAGCCTTAAGCAAAACACTGTGTTTTGAAGATTTGAGGGAAGACTTTGAGAAGGAGGGAATATAGAGGAAGAAATCTAAAAGGAGTGAGACTCCTTCATTTCAATCAGATGCCTCTTCTGTACTTTTTACCACGTCTGTTATTTTCTCTGACTTCTGTCTTTTTTCCTTGATCAGAGATGAAAGATCTCCTTGGCCCGAGTGCTGCATTACCAGACAAAGGAACAGAGATGATATCTGTAATAAAGATTACACCAAGACTGTCTAACTGTTTGTAGGTAATAACATATCCAGTAAGAAAGATAAAACTGAGCAACTGGCCAAACAGGTGGGTGGAACTTTCACCAATACCAAGGTGCTCTGAGCTGATTAATCTCTCACAAAGGAGACAACATTTACTTTTCTTTATTAAACATACAGCATCTGTTTTTCAAAGACATTGCCAAGCATCTCTCACTTGAAGACATATGAGACAATTCAAGTCAAATAAACATCTATAAAATCAAGAGGAATTTTGCCTGAGTGCTGAATCAAGTCTGCAAACAAATAAGTTGGGGCTTTTGGCTTCCTAGAACTTCCTATAAAAGGGTTATTATGCAGGCATAATGAAGATGGAACAAAAGCAGCTTAAAATTATATATGCACTAGAAAACGGAACAGAAGAAGTAAAAACTAAACATCAGAATAAGTGAGTCAGCACACAATACTGCCATGTGATGGATTCTGATCCGTATACCTTCATAGCTTTTCAGCATGTTTAATCAAGAGTTAAGAAAGCAGGTTAGCTACAGATCAGATAACCTTTATTTAACATCTCACACCAACAACCCCAGATTTAAACCTGCCAAAAAAAAAAAAAAAGCTTATGGGCCTGCAACATTAACCATGTGCTCCAGCTGAACCAATCCTACTTCATTCTCACCTTATTATCCCAAGTCACAAACAATTCCTTGTAAGCACAGATGCTTGAATGACGAAGTTTCAGCAAATCCATTGCCTGCATAGAATAATAAAAAAAAATCCAGAGAGAAAACTCACTATAGCTACATGCTGCCTCCCACTGAACGGGGCCTTAAATAACATTGCTAAGTCAGTTCCTGACTCGTTCACGTCACATGCCTGATCCAAACCTTTTTATGAGTAAGCTCTAATATCTATCTCGATTTACTAGTGTCAAGCTAAGTGAAATATTTCAGGAAGATTCTACTCAATGGAATGCTGTAACAGTCTTGTGAGATTCAAGATATAAACTGATCCTTAGGGAGATGACATGTAAACAACTCCCCCAATTCTTAACATCCAAACCTGAAAACACACCTTAGGATATGAAAGTCAAGATGATATTTCTAGCATAGCCATTATTTCCAGGAACCCCTCTGCAAGCTTGAGCCACGGAAAATATGATGACTCTAAAGAGATGTCCTAAGAGACAGTCTTACCTGATCTGGATATTGACTATTTACACAGTTAATCATTGTAGATAAAAGGCTTTGTTCTATTACGACTTTGGTCTCTGTAAGTGAAGCTAGTAAAGAAAAGCTGCACTGATACCTCCTTCAAGGCCTTATTTGCTTGCTTTTCTTCAATGCATTCAACCTGCACCAAACAAACAGGATGAGATTGTAACATGGAGACGGCCAACCTTTAAGCCAGCAGAGATCTCACAATAAACTTGCCAAGACCGTCAGAACTGCAAAGCGTGTATGAGTTGGCATAAATTTTAAACGAGAGCTCTCCAGAGCAACCAATCTCTAATGTTTTGACCAGTCTGTCAGGAGATGAACAGAAACTGAGGTTTCAGTGAGTCCAGGACAGCTGGCTAGTCCTTCCTCTACACTGTCAAAATAGCAGTGAGCTAAGGTTAAAACATGCTGGATGGACCTGAACGGGCTGCTCCCCTTTCCCCGGTTCTAACCTCAGTATTCTGGTAAAATGATCCAAATGCTGCAGCCGTCAAAGACGGCAGCGCAGCGTAAGATGTACGCCTGCTCTGACCCAGCAGCCGAGCTGCTTAATATGTTTGTCTCTGTTACGATCAAAAGGGCCCACGGAGACGATGAACTTTCCGGTGGCCTCTTGTTTTCCTAGCAACCACCCTCTCACCTGCTTCATGACATATTTCTTCCCCGTGCTCTCCTCTGCTTTCAATTCAACTACAAGCATAGTCCCCAGCGCCCCGGGCTGCAGCTCCTCCAGTACCTGCAGGGCAGGGGAAAGACCCTCACGCGCTCACCCAGCTTCAAGGTGGGGAACAACCGAGGCAGAAAATCCCTTCAAACCACTTTCCCACTGAACCTCTCCAGACCGGCAGCACCTCCTGCTCCCTGCTGGGGGGGCAACACGCTCTCTGCACCCCAACTCTGAGGGGGGAGGCGTGCGGACTTCCCCTTCCCCTCTTCTCTGAGGTCCTGGATAGTTCCCCTTACTTCCCCTCTGCTGAGGAACACCTTCATCTCTCCCCAGGGCCATGTACCCCCTCCCCAGGGCCAGGTACCCCCTCAAAGGCCTCATACACCCCCCCCAAGGGCCTCATACCCCCTTCCCAATGCTGTGCACCCCCTCCCCAGGGCTGTGTACACCCCTCCCCAAGGCATCGCACACCCCCTCCCCGAGGCCACGTACCCCCTCTCCAATGCTGTACCACCTCCCCAGTGTCGCGTACCACTCCAGGGCCTCATACCCTCCTCCCCAAGGCCCATTCATCCCTTCCTCAGGATCCCTCGCCCCCCGCCATTTCCCTCTTTG